ACATTTATACTCTGCCCCCCCCCCCCCCCCCCCCCCCCCTTTTACCGCCTAACTCACCTGCACAGACAGCATAATTGTACCTTTCACTTCTTTTTTTTTATATTCTAACAGGAGTGCAAAAAGCTTTTAAGCGACACTTTCTACGATGATTAAATGGGAGGCAGCGGTGAGCGTTTAACATGCCCCCAAGGATCTTCCGTGCCCGTGCCGAGGCCGGCGGTCCAATTACGTCTTTGCACTTCCCTGAGACCACGAGGGATCATGCCCGTTGCCTTGACGTGGCGCCCACTTATCGTTGCCCCGTGAACTAAGTGCGTCGTCGGCACTACCGTTATAAACAACGTTGATGGAGATGATGTGCAAGGACCAAGTTTAGAACACCCTGGGGACCTCTCGGCTCCTGTCCTGTTTTCAGCGCGAGTTCCGAGTGAAATAGCACGAAAGGCAGCGAAAGGACTCGGACGTCAAGAAAAAGAAAAAAAAAAAAGTTTGGCGTATTATATATGCGTTGTGCAAAGTATTTCTTACAAAATTTGGTTGTCGAAGGAAGAAACGATGCTTTAGGCATTTGAAACGTGTGCGTCTTCATAAAACTAAATAAAGCAAAAAAAAAGGATATCGGGCTGAAATGTTCATGACTTCGCGGAGGCACCGCCACTGATTCAAAAGGAGTTCTTCGTCGCGGTAAAATTGTGACGATAAAGGGGGACTATTTCTTTCAGTGTTGCCTTCGCAAAGCTCGAGGACGTAATTGTGGGATCGAAAGCACCCACCTGACAACACTCGAGCGCGGCTCATGGATTGGACACGAGAACTGCGTGAACACTTCGGCTCGTAACAATCGATGCCTCGGCGGACACTCGGGTAGTGGTTCCTGTCCAACCACTGCGGTGATGAAAATAGCCGAACTCGAACAATTCCTGGAGCTCAGCACGACTCTGCCGACCCCAGCGCATGGCTATGATTAACGTTGGAAGCATAGAATTGGCACCAGGCCACGTGGCCACTTGTTTTGGCTCCGAGTTGAGGGGATGAATGATGCTCATTATTCTCGAATTTGTTTAACGACTGCCATTGCCTAGAAAGAAAAACTAAGGCAAGTTTACTCAGTTATTAACTTTAGGGAGTGATTCCAAGTAGTATTTAGCGAAAATAGAAAAATCGCTTCATGGCTTCTTTAAGCTGACTGAAAATAAGCCAGGAAAAAGGGTGCCCTCACAATGGACACGTCACAATCTGTACGCCGGAGGAGGAAGGAACCTTGCAGGACCAGGAAACGAGGGAAACCAAGTTTGTTTGTCACACCGCGCCCTACATCTTCGCTAGGTGCTTCTTTGATCAGGGTAAGCTTTAATCAACGTGAATTGATGTTTTATCTGTTTTTTTAATAACTGCCGGCCTAGACGGAAGTCTGGATCGAAATGCATTGGTTTGACAATTTGAGGGCCACAAGGGAGGAAAAGTGAATAAGCTTTTCTTGTACGAACTTCGGGGCGAAAGATAAGCTCCATATAAGCCACAATGTGTACAAGGGATACGGTGGGGGAACGCCATCACTCACAGGCTACTGAATCTAGGAAGCAGGATCTAAATTCCCCTTCTCGGGAGGCCGTGGCTTATTTCGCCACGCAATCACGTGTTTTCATACTCACAGATTTCGAACCAGCGTCTGCGTGAGGCTGCGTATGCGCGGACGATATTTAAAAAAAATCGTGGATATCTTGTTGATAAAACTAAATGAAACAAAAAGCACGACTTCCACTCGTATTTAGCAACGTTGTCGCCCCTCCCCCCCCCCCCCCCCCCCTTTTTCCCCGTAAAAATAACATAAAAACTACCACGCCAGTAAGTTGGGGGCATCCTGAGGGCCAGCGCGAAGCACTCGTATTGGACACGAGTACTACGTCAACGTACAGCTAAACTCTCCCCCCCCCTTCCCCCCCCCCCCCCAAAAAAAAAAAAAAAATGCTTGCGCTGTGACATTGAGCATAGTCATACTCAGTGCCACAGATCAGACTGCCTTTTTAGGTCTAAACATATATTCAGCCTAGTCTTTCGCTGAGCCTTCCCTGTAGATTGCAGGGATTGGCTCACCCAAGTGCTTTAGGGGGAAATTTATGCTCCGGACTTTTTCAGGGTGTTCCACTGAGTGGATCAACGCACGTATCAAATGTCCTCCCTCGCAAAGAGCTAAGGTGCCGTTTCATCGTGACCCTCCACGTCTGCAATCGGTGCACCCAAAGAGGATAACCGCGCGTCCCCCAGCTTTGCGTCATCAAGGTAACTCGATAACGCATAAAACATCGATAGATCTGATCTAAAGCGACAATCGCTACCCTCCCACGTTTAAATGAGACACGACGGTGGAGTCCAGAAAGAAAGGAGCGAGGGTCACCGTCGTCAAGATGGTGACCCTCGCTCCTTTCTTTTCCAGTGATTCCTTGAGGAGTCGTCGAGGCGCCGTTCGAAGCCCCAGCCGACAGCTTGATTCAATCGATTTGATTGAAGCGGAAGATGCGGCGGATCGTGTATCAGAAAGGCCGTGACGAAGACCTATACTGACTTGTCACTGACGGTGGTCTGTCAAACCGAGTCGGCGGAGTCCTTGAGCTTCTGCTTGTAGGGTCGAAAGGGACCGAAGGTCACACTGACCGAAGGCCACGCGAACTCTAAAGGACAGAGTTTCAACAAGGTTCGAACGAATCAAATCGGCGTAAAAGCGGCGGGAGTAAATACAAATACAGAGTGGAGTCTGAGCGTAAGCGCCCGCTTCAACTTCTAAAAGCGTCGAGATGACAAGATGAACTAAAAAACACAAGAGAGAAGTGGCGATGGCACGTGTCCAGCATAGGGCATTGGATGCTAAGCGAGGGCAAAGTCGAACATAATTATTTATGCGGTCAACGGAGCAGGCCACTGAGCCTCAGATAGAGCTTGCCGACTATATGCTCGTTGGCATCGGAGCCATCTTGTCGCATTCTGAGAAAGAGGTGTTGGTTGGCGACGGCCTTCCAGTCGTGCTGTAAAGAAAGGGTACGCAAATAGACACCCACATAGAAAAAAAGAAACCAGAAAGGTAGCATTTAAAGTGCACTAACCTCGAGGCACAACCGGTTCGTGAAAAGTGGACCCACAGATGGACACACAAAACACAAGCACAAATTGGACACTCAGGCCAAAGCACGTGGTAAATAAAACTTTTTTTTTTTGGCTTGTCACGATCGATGTACAACAGACCTCACTATGAGGAGGACGAATGCCGCCGCGGAATGCCCAAGGTTGACGGGGGACGCTCGCCATTTTTCCAAGACTGTGGCCCACGTTCGGCTTCGGTCTGTTCTAGACCGGTTGACTTTGGGGCATCTGGCAAGAAGACACTTTACACCCGAAAAAAAAAAACCGATATAAATTCTAGTTGCGTGTTATATGGAAAACATGACTGCAGCATTGAAGTCAATTGAAGAAGGGGAATAAAGAGCACGTAAAGACGGGCGTGAAATAAGTCTTCGGTGTGTGCAACAGCTGTTCAAATCGGGAAAAATAAACTTGCTCTGGAAATTTTTTTTTTTCTGTTTTGTTTACACAATGAATATTTGGAGGCGCCGAAGAACCCTTTCTATTCCAATAAATTTTATTTCCATACTGAAGAATTCCAGTTTTCACCTCTTCCTGCACTGACCCTTTGAAACGTAAGATTGACTCTGCGGTTCTCGGTTCGTTAAAAACTCGGAAACAATCAGATTAAAACGAGCGGTCACAACTTCGGAAAATCTTGGAGCACCAATTGTCAGTTTAACTCCTCAATAATGAAAGCACGCGCTCATTCATGCTAAAAGGATCAAGGCCCGTTCACACTCCTGCGACTGAGTAAGACTGAGAGAGACCAGACCGGTTTTTAAGCCTCTTGCGATCTCTTAGGACCAGCTCCGCTGCATCGCATCCGGTCCTAAGAAGTCGCAAAAAGCTTAAAAACTGGTCTCGTCTCTCTCGGTCGCATTCGGTTGCAAGAGTGTGAACGGGCCTTCAGTCTCAAGGTCCATTCACAGAGGTGGGCTTGCTTACGTTTTCTTACGTTAGGAATCGTTATTTAGCTCTTTATCGCGGTGCTAACATAGCTACTCATTGCACATGCACAGTAGCGGGTGGTCTGGTGATGATGACGACCGACTCTAACCAGAGTGGTCATCACGTTCCGCACCATAGCCGTATGACGGGCTAACCGGAAAATGACGGAGGACAAAGCTTTACTTACACCGAGGTTTTGTCATCA